AATGGAAAAACATGGAAGCTACTATTTTAAGGTTTAGGGTTGAGGGTGCAAGTATATTATGCCCAATAACTGAAAACCTAATGGAAAAGAAAGTGGAACAACAAATGGATCCTTTTATGGGGCTCCCTAGACTAAAGACTCTGGTATGGTGCGGTCTATATTGGGGTCCCCCTTTTATGGAAGCTTCCATTTGCTCTTACTACGAGGATAGGACTCGCTAAGCCCTACAGCCTAAGCCCTAAATCCTCCACCCTATAAACCCTCAAGATCCATGGACTGTGTCAATATTTGTGTCCCAATGCTTTCCAGGGAAACCCCCGTGCAACATCATAGACCAACACCATGTGTCCAAGAACCCGACAATTAAGTACTTGGGATTAAGGCAGGGGCAATTAAAGTCCAGGTTTTCTGCAGGTATATGGAGTACTTGCACCCCTGTAGGGCAGCGAGGGCTATTGTTTCGAGAACAGCCCAACCTCATCTGGCAGTTGCTTCCCGTGGAGCAGGAACTGGGCTAACTCGTTCGCAAAGTGGTTACAATTGCGGCGGAGGACGTCGTAGCTTCTAGGGTTATAGTCCACATAGATATCTTCTTTGAGAAACTCCACCATGTCCTCGTAGGTCCGGAGCGTCGTTCCGAGCCGGATGACTTGTTTGGGAACGCCGAAGGGCACGTCCTCATACTTCGATTCGAGGATCACGCCGCCGAACCAGAATTCCTTCGGGGTGGTCTTCTTGGTGGGGCAGTGGGACTTTGTGAGTTGTAACAGTTCTAAGTATACGTGCTACGACTTACTATGCCGCCCAGACCGCCCCCTCAGAGTTTTCAAGATGCGTGGATTATACTGGAGAGAACTGGCAAAAGCCCGGCTCGGCGCGTAGTTTTCCGCTGGAACCCATGCGTTTATGATGACAGGTGCGCAAAAACCCGAGATGGTCGCATGTCCTTCCCGAAGACACGAAGTCCGGAGTGCCAAACCCCATCCAGCTTGTGGCCCCCAAGCAGAGATCCGGGAATCCACTGCGCAACACCTTGTAGATTCAAAAAATCTGGGAAAAGAAATGTTATGGTACAACGGCAAGAACTGCGCAGGATCAAAAGCAAAATAAGCCCTGAAGTTAGCCTTATTGTGCCGGCACCCCCTTGTCAAGGGCGGTTCCTACATAAAAGCCCAACCTCATCGCTTTCTTCTTCTGGAAGGTCATACACAAGCTTTTTTTGTACGGCAACTGTACCCGACCTTGAGACAGATCGTAGAGCACCAGCTCCACGACAGAGGCCTTCTTGCAAGCGTGTAGGGCTGCAGGACCGCAGGGTAGAGGGTAGGGATGCGAGTTTGACTTTGAGACTTAAGGTTAAGGCTTAAAAGAAGACACAACTTGCAGAAGCTCCATCCCTTACCCGCCCTTCCCTCACGCCCCAACCGACCTTGAGCCCCAAGGCATGCGCCAGGAACTCGTAGTAGCCCAGCGCCCAGGGGGAGCCATCCTCTTCCTGTGGATTTTACGTACTGGTGGTTAGTAAGGGTTTGGGGGCGGGTTTAAGGTTTAGGGGTTGGGTTTAGGGTTTAGGGGTTTAGGGGTTAGGGTTAGTAGGGCTCGGGGTTTAGTCGTCCAAGTGTCAGGGCATTACACTTAAGCTTCCAACCTGCCTAAACTAGCATGGCCTGTTCAGGCTTTGCTGCAACACTGGTCCCTCTGTAGGTTACGTTTTGTCTTTTGAAAGTTGAAACGCACATGTAAAACTGAAACCCAAATTCAGCCCTGGGGCCTAAGAAGCCCAAGAAACCTATATAGCCTAGATCCTAAACCTAAACCTTGAATCCTAGATCGCTAAAGCCTAGACCCTATAAACCCCAATCCCTAAACCTGAGTGAAAAATGTGTTCTGAACGCATTGGGGCGTCTCTATCCTCGAGGATTTCATCAGGTGGCTGGCTCATGCCAACCTTTGCTGCTGTTGAGAGAGAGCTTGGGATATCTAGTTTGGGACTTAAGTTTTTCATGTAGGCTACACGAGCTAGGACGTAGGGCTCAAGAAATATGGTTCAGAATTTAGGTTTAAGGCTTGGGGCAGTGCATGGTTAATGCAACTGACGGGGTTCAGGCCTGAATGGCCTTGGAGCGTCTGTAAAGGAATACTGTTTGCAGATTTTTGAATCTGCGTCGCTAACACAGAACATCAGGATTTGGCTATGGTCGTCATTTGGGAGTTGCCGGCACATGTATCCTGTAACCCGTTTAGATACCATACCCATATATGACGGGGATCCCAAAAAGTAGAATTCTCCCAAAAAAACCAAATATATATATATGCACTATATATACTCTAGTATAATATAGTCATTTCCATTTTCTTTTCCATGATCCCAATAAAACCCGAATATAAACGCTATAAAACCCTATTAAACCTTATTAAAAACCCTATAAACCCTATTAAAAACCCTATTGAAACCCTAGATAATATAGCAGGTCTTCTTTGAGATGAACTTCTCAACCGAAATCCAGTTACCGCCTCGAAGGCTGCTGGCCACTTCTCCAGGCGAAGGAGCCCGTCTCCTGTGGTGTCCCCTTGGCTGGAGATCCCAATAATAAGGACTATAGTACTTGGGTTTAGGGTTTAAGGTTTAGTGTAACTTAGTTGGGGGTTTATATTGGGGGGTCCCCCTATTTTGGGAAACTACCACTCAATCTAATGAGCGCTTGAATACAAATAGTCCTCCTAATCTACGTTGGAACTTATATTCGAAACATTTCGCGTTAGGGACGTGCATGGTGATTTTGGGGAGGACGTTACACATGCAAAAAAACAACTGAAGTCCCAGGAGACAAGCCAAGCCTCCGGCTTCGAACGCAGCCTCTGTAATTTCAGTTTAGGGTTTAGGGATTGCTTGGTGTTGGGAGGGACTTAGCAAGTCTTGTCAAGTATACCTACGACCCATAAACACCGTATGAGGATGTCCCCCGGTCATTCTCACTCAAGTCCGCGTGACCCTCCAAATAAGCTTCAGGACTGCAGGTTTAGGGCTCAGGCTTCAGGGCTTAGGCTCCAGGACTTAGGGTTTAGGCTTCAGGCTTCAAGACTTAGAATTTAGGGTTTAGGCTTCAGAGAGCTATTTGGACGGTTCTTTCATGTACTAGGTTTTCGTTCTCTACGGGGTCTGTTGTTAAAATTCCGCCGCTGTTTCGAGTTGCTGCCTACATACTCGCGCCGCAAGAAGCAAAGGGCCTCGAAGAGGACCTTACTCTTGACGTCAGAACATCCCTACGGCCTGAACACCCCTTCAAAGATGCCTTAAATGCTCTAGGTCAGGAGGAACCCCACCCTGTAACAGTGGTATAATGGGAATGAAAAAGGACCCTAATAGAATCCTTATTATCCCTTATAATTAGTCACTATTACTGGGCAGGGGTCCACCTAAGCTTTAGGGTCCGGGTTGTCCAAGCAGCGCAACATGATCTTAACGCGAGGTCAGGCTTGGAATGCTAAATCAGAGACCCAAACATATTTGGAACCCCAACATCTACATTGAAAAAGGTCACCCCCAAACAGCTGGATTGGACGAAAACATGCTAAAATCTACCCAGCAGCATGGAGACGGCTGAGGAGAGCTCGATCCTCCCAGAAAGGCAAGGTTTGGGTTTTGGGTTTAGGACGGTTTGTGGCTCAGGATTTTGTGGTTTAGGCCTTTAGGCTGCAGTGCATACGGTTTAGTATGAGGCTGGGTAGGACTGGAAAACTAAGCGGGGCCTGGTGTACGATTTTGAGTGTAGGGTGCAGGGCAAGGTAGGCATACTCTTGATACTAAAGCTCCTGCATCCTGCAGGACCTGAATATACTACAGCCCTGTAATTCCCAAGGTTGATGGTACTTGGGTCCATGCATGATATCTAATTTCCGCCGTGTTCTACAAGAAACACTGGCGTCATCCATGAGAGAAAATATACGATACTACAGGCTTGTGCCTTATTCTTGGGCCTTTTCCTACCTCAGGGGTCAGTATTTTGGGTCTAGGGAGTACTGGGTTCAAGGTAAACCCTAAACCCTAGATCCGAGGGCTTAAGGGTTCAAGGCTGCAAGATCAAGGTTCAGGCTTTACCCTTACGGTCTGGAAGCCGACTTGACCCATAATCTTAACTCCTTAAACGAGATTTATATGTATATATATATATTTATACATGACTACATAGGGGAATACCTTCGCCGCTAACTTACCATGTAATGTAACTGCTTGTCAAAGGGTCCGTGTCGGCTTGATGAAGGCCATGGGAACATGCCTACAAGGAAGCACCACATAGGAGCTTTCCAGAGGCGAACCCTGATGAAACCGTACGAAGCATCCCTGGTATATGAATTCAAACCAAGAACTGCGAGGAACCCCTTTTACTGTATACCCTCAACCTTGAACCCTTTCCTCTGCCGAAATCCATAGCTTGGGTTTCGGGTGTAGTGGGTTACAAGTAGGAATCATGTGGTTTACTACCCCTTTGCTTGGGTAAGTCCCCTACGCCTACAGCTGCTAGCCCTAAGGCCTAAAAGCTCTAAACCCCAGGCAAAAAGAATCTCTATATAATATATTCCCTTATGTCCCTACTAAGAACTAGTGAGTAAACTCGTGTGTGAGCCTCGTCCAGAAACTCCCCAAGCCCTACACCCCTAACCCCCTAAACCAATGAACCCGAAACCCCCTAAACTAATGAACCCTAAACCCCTAAACCAATAAAACCCAAACCCCCACACCAATAAACTCTAAACCCATAAGCAAATAAACCCTAAAACCCTAAACCAATAAACCCTAAACCCCTAAAAGCCTGGAGCCCCAACCCCAAATTCCCAGATCCTCTTCCAGGGACTTCCGCAAATGCCGATTCAGGTGTTTCGCTGCCACATGACTTGGTGCCGAGGCCTTAGCTCGCAGCCATCTTTAATTACCATAGAGGTTTGGGTTTAGGGGTTTAGGGTTTAGTACCCAATAATTAGGTACTTGGGTTTGGGGTAGTAGTAATTATAATACAGGTTTTGGGTAAGTATATGACTATTAGGTACTTGGACCCTTAGGGATAAGGTTTAGGGTTGAGTTACTTTTGGGTTTAGGGTTTAGAGTCTTATACTACCTAGAGGAATATAGGGAGGATACAGGGTTAATGGAAAGAAAACGGAAACTACCATGTCAGGGAGGATATAGAGGTAATGGACAAGAACATGGCCAACTACCACGTGCGGTTTAGGGCTCAGGGTTTGCGACTATCATAGCAATCATGGAGAAAGAAATGGACAAGAACATGGAAAACACTATTCAGGGCTTAGGGTTTGGGGATACTGCCCCATTTCAAATTGCAAATGGATACCGCTGTTTAGGGTGTAGGGCGAAGTAGGATATGGCCTCACTCATAATGCAGGAACAGCTGCCCAACCCACAGATAATCCCTATATAGGAAATTCCCATTATAGTAGTTTCCATTTTCTTTTCCATTAACACTTAGGGGCTAAGGGCTTCCTGAAGCTTGACGGCTTACAGTATATGGGTAGTTCCCAAACTTAGGGTCCCATTTTGGTACCCCAAAATAGTAGGTGCCGTAATACAATACATACCCAAAAGGGAACCCACAATTTTGAGAACAACCCATATCCTCAGGGCGAGGAGTGTTGGGGTTTGGGGCGTCGGAGCAGGGCTAAGGTTCAAGGTCTGGTTAAACCCCAAAAGTATGTAAAATAATAGCCCTAAACCCATAATAATAGCCATAAAGGCCATTATTTTACATACTTTTGGGGTTCAAGTGGTTGTGAGTTGTTGGTGTTTGCGGGTTAAGGTCGGGATTCTGTGTGCCTTGATGCTGGTCATTGAACGCTTCGTGCAGATCATATGATGTGCGAGACTTTGAGATCTTCATTTTGCAGGTTCCTGGATTGAGCATGTCGAGCCCTACGTGCCTTTCAAGAGTTGCAAATGTTATTGGAATGTCCAGATAGGACAAGCCATTTTTGCGGCACTGTGGACCTGCAACTGCTGGAGCTTCTGCAACTTACTTGGTGCCAGGCGATCCTCAGTACAGACTGGGGCAGTTGTACCAAAAACAACCCGCCAGATTAGTGGCACATGCTACAGGGACCTGAATCAAGAGCAATATGATCTACTCGAGGTAGCTAAAACTCTTCTATCATTCTTTCTTGTACAGGGAACCTAGAACCCCAATATTGCTAATCGCTTGGTCTTCTACATGTTCATCCCTGTAAACGCCTACGTACATAACCCCGGCTTCCATTCATTATCCAACGTCTTTTCCATTTGATTCTCCACTACTGGGGTAATATCCCCAAACCCTAAATAGTAGTTTCCATTTTCTTTTCCATCATCCCAATACAAGCCCTATATAACCCCAATATAGTATACCATACTAAACCACAATATACTATAAAAACCACACCGACTCGGGCAGTGGCCCGCAGAAGCATGAAGTGCACCCATTCGTCCATGCCCAGGCCCTGTTGTCCTGCACCAGTCCCCAGGTCCATCTCTGAAAAGCGGCACTTCCTTTGCTGGCTCAGGGTTCAAGGTTTTGGGTTTAGGTGGTTGTCGAATATGGGCCTGTTTGGCCTCCTCTGTATGATGCGGCCCGTAGTATGTAGGATCCCACCAGAAGGGTATGGAGGCATTCCTGACCCAGAAAAACCCAACAAATGGCAGTTTCCCTAAATAGGGGGAGCCTAATATAGACCCCAAAATGCTACAATCCTTATTCTGGGGACCCCCCAAACAAGGTACCCCTAGTCTTGGGAAACTCCTAAATCACCTAAGAAGGTGCGCTGCATGGGATCCAGCATTCAGAAACATCCCAAAACGGATCCTGCCTCATCGGCCCCCATCACAGAAAGATCTGCAAGGGGTCAAATTGACCCTAAACCCTTGAAACCCTAGACCCTAAACCCTTAAACCCTGCACCCTAGGGTTGAGTGATTGCAAACAGACAAAGATCAAGGTTGGAGTTCTGGGCCCCTAGTTTGGGACCTTCTGAGGTCCTTACATGGGTGGTTGTCAAAATTATGGTCCCTTTTCGGGTACCCTAAATATTAGGTGCCGTATTATAATAGGGACCCAAAAAGGGACCATAATTTTGACAACCACCCACATACTTATTCTGTACCCGGACACGGTACCCTAAAAACGCCCACAGGCCCTAAAGCTCAAGCAAGGCCAATACGTGGGACCAAGGTAACAGGTAGGTGCCCATACTAGGGCCCCATGCTTAGGACCTTTGACGAACTCCGAAGCCTGGTCGCCTCTACACCCGAACCTCCAAACTAACCTCTGAATCCAGATCCATAAGCACAAGCCACTGCAGAGACTCACAAACTTCAACAGATTTGCCTGTTTTGTGGTTAGTAGGGAAGAATGGAGGGACATTGTAAAGTGAGTGTATTCCCTCATTCCCCAAGAACCACCAGTAAGTCCATTTTCCCTATAATACCCCAATATAACCCGAATATACTACATGGTAGTTTCCATTTTCTTTTCCATTATCCCTATATTACCCCAATAGAACAGGTAATGCAAGAAAGTGGCACCACCTCCCCCAGAAGCTCCAGGTCTTCACTGCCCAGCGTACTTGTGCGCTCCAACAGCTCCTGCAGCTGAGGAGTTTAGGGATTTTGGGGGTTTAGGGTTTAGGGATTTAGGGGTTTAGGGATTTAGGGGTTACAGGGTTTAGGGATTTAGGGGTTTAGGGTTTTAGGGGTTTAGGGTTTAGGGATTTAGGGTTTAAGGAGTTAGACGTTTAGGGTTTAGGGTTTGGGCCCTTGGGCCTGCTGGGTGCTCGGAAGGGTACATACAGGGCATATCGTAAGTATTTATAGCCCCCCTTAAGTAGATATGGGGAATATAGGGGTTACATTGGGATAATGGAAAAGAAAATGGAAACTACTATTTAGGGTTTAGGGTTTAGGGTTTAGGGCTTATAGTCCCCCTTAAGTAGATAAAATATGGGGTGTATGGGGACCTTATTATAATAGACCCAAAGCCATATTCTATCTACTTCAGGAGGACTATAAGGATCTCAGGATTAAGGGTCCATACTAGGGGGCCATGGTTTCAACATTTGACTTTAGCTAGCAGGTTGGGCTGAACGCAAATGGCCTTATGTTGGGATTATATCGGATAATGGGAAATAACATAATTACTACAGTATTATACTGGGCTATGTTGGGGTTATATTGGGATAATAACACATGGAAACTACGAAAATAATGGGTCATACTGGGCTAATGGAAAGTAAAATGGAAACTGCTATTTAGGATTTAGGGTCCAAGGGGCTGCAGCTGCATGCAAAGCTTTACTTGCTATAGTCCCCATTGAGTAGGTAGACTATGGGGGTTTAGGGTTTAGGGCTTAGGTAGGTAGACTATGGGGCATGTGGGGATCTGATGATGATATTGGGCCGTTCCGTATTCCATCTACTGAAGGGGGGGGGGACTATGATTTGTGACAATTTGTGAATGCTAGGACTTGGGATTCCGGTTCGGCTGTAGGGCTTTGGGCATGTCAGACATCTTGAGCCAACCTAAATTTATTTGGGGGTTAGTAGGGAATTAGGGAATATAATGTGTAGGGATTATGTTCTCTTATTCACTACAAAGAACAGTAAGTAAACTGAATCCAAGATTTCAAGGGAAGCCCGGGAGTACTACTTTATCTGTGCGGTGACATATGGTGACATACATCTTAATTAATGCAATAGAACCCTCTTCCTGATTCAAGGTCTACACTTCGCGGGTTTGCCCACACCCTAAGCTCTAAACCCTAAACAGTAGTTTGCATGTTCTTGTGCATTATCCCTATGTATCACTATATGACCCCTACCCTAAACCCTATACCCTGGGTGCCTTAGGGATGCCTGATTTGTTCACGCCATTTCTTTTAGGAGTCAGTATGGCATTATGCAGGAGGACAAACCACCCTGAACTAGTGGTATAGTAGGAATTTAAAAGGACCTAATAGAATCCTTATCATCCCTTAGAGTCACTATTACTGAGTGGGGGGTCCACCTAAGGCATTCTGCAGGAGTTCTTGGAGAGAAATCCTGTCTGATTTCATCCTAAACCAGTTGGTCCACGCCTCAACTCTTAATGGTTATGAGTGGAAAATCACAAAAGGTGAGGATTCTGTAGGCTTAACAAGGAAGGGTACTAGGCTTGTATGCTTCCCACAGACTCATTCGGCCGCAAACTATGCCATACATGTCGAGATCCGTTGTGCAAGGGGACTTCCCAATTTTTGTGATCTCCTCCCCCCCAAAAGCCAACGCCCCTAACACTATGCCTGTCCATTGTGGTATTATGCTGTACACTGTAAATATGTCACATTAGGGCGGATGGGGGTTTAATATTGCTGGGAGGTATACCTCCTAACCTAGACCCCTGATTAATAAACCCCCTCCCCTTAATAGGGATTATACTGGGGATCCTAATATTAGGGCCCTTAAAGGGAGGGGGTTTATTAATCCTGGGTCTATATACATTATACAACCCTGACGTAAATCTAGTTTCCACGTCGTTTCCATTTTCCTGTTTCATGTCATTTTCCATCACAGATATGTCCGTTTTCTTTTCCATTCCTAGCCCTAAAACTTGAAACCTACACCCCCAGCTTCATAACCCTAAAGGTTGAGGGTTTAGGGCCCCAAAGGCGATTAGGCAACGAGCTCCTTGATATGATCAAAGAGCTCCTCCTTGGTGAAATGCCCTGAGCCATCTGCGTCGACGTTGTCGAGGAAGTGGCTGCGCAGGAGGCAAAGGATACTGGCCTGTCAGAAATTGTTAGGACATATTAGGACGTTCGGCTGATTTAATTTGCAGTGGTTTGGAACAAACAATCCCCCTAAAGGGATGATTCTCATAATACATGTCCCTATTTGAGCGATAGCCTAAACTCCTAACATCCCCCTTAATAACCCCTTTCGTAGCCCCTATGTAATCCCCTATATAACTCCCCTTTAAGAAGTTTAGACTATAGCTCATTTGAAGTTCATTGCAACACCTACTCTGGGCCTGCCCCGGAGGGCTGATGGGGCTGGGCCCCCTGCTCCTCATTGGGCTAGATGGCGCGGAGCTTTCGGGTGTTCTCCAGCCACGTGACTTCCCCGAAGCTGGGGACACCGCGGAGGGAGATGGTGGGAGTAAGGTGGCTGTGCGGTGTGACCTAGGGGTCTTGAAACATGGAACTAGAAGGAGATGGCATAGGGAGGTAAAAAATACAGGGACCCTCACATATATGGATCTAACCCTAAATCCTAAGCCATAAAACCCTCCCACAGGCCATGGAGGGGTGATTTCAGGAAGCCATCACCTAAGTGACCAGTGGGACCGTGCAGGAGACACCGGTTCAGGCACAACACTGGTATCGAAGCCCCCCTCGGATACATCCAGGAGGGCGCTCATCCAGGTGTTGAGGGTCTTGCGCTTCTTCCTGGGTTAGCTTAAGGTGATGTGCAGGAGCTGAGGTTAAGGGAACATAGCAAGAAAAACAAACTCTTTTCCACACAGTACCCATACCCATTCGGTCAGGATTCAGGTCCTGGGAAGTACCTAATCATAGAGAGGAAACTATATCAACTACTTTAGATCCATACTCTGGTAACATTGCTTCTTCTGTGACTGGTGGGCCGTGAGTGTCCCTGGGTTCATAAGGAAACTCTGAGGGCCCCTTTCCAGGATTGTGCAAGAAATTCGCCGAAACCCTAATTAGCCCTAAACCCTGAACCCTGACAAACCCTAAGCCCATCATTAGGTCCTGAAGGCAAATTTTAAGCTCCTTAACAACAGTCCGGCTTCTCGGTCCTTTGAAGCGCTGGTTCAGACTCATTGGAGTCTTGGCACTCACCTTCATTCGGATTCTTAAGGAAAAGCTGAGGAGTGAACGTAAGCCCGTTTAGGGTTTATAGTCCCCTTCAAATAGATAGAATATAGGGTATATCGGGAGTTTATTCTGATATTGGGCAACTCCATATTCTATCTACTTAAAGGGAACTATGGGGTTGATGGTTCAGGTTTACGGGGTAGAGCTCAGGCTTTAGGATTAAGGGTTTAAGGTTTAGGGGGTTCAGGGAGCAGGTAAGTGAACATTAAGAGCGTTATATAAAAGCATACATGGGGCTCACATGGATCATGTACTTAAAAGATCCCAAATAAATTCCATTCCCTGAAGCACAAGTCTAAGCGCCAAGTGCTAAACCTGATCTCCCGCTGCCCTTACTTGGAGATTTATGGGTGATTATTCTGAGGTTCTGAGTAGGCCAGCTGAAACTAGGACAAGACATACCCTGAGTTGGGAACTCATCACCCTACTTATAACAGCGCATGAAACTTTAACCTTACATCCAAAACCCTGAACCCCAAACATTGAGGCCTAAACCCCGAACCCAAACCCGCCCTACCCTTTCGGGGACATTCTCTAAAACCTATCTACACCTTGTAAGCCCTAAGCACAGGTCTTATTTCATGGTTCATTTCTTGTCAAGTTTTCCCAATTACTGGGATACTACCCCTAAACACTATAATTATGTCCCACATTCTCTCACCCTATACCCCCAACACAAAACCCTAAACCCCTAAACCCTAACCCAAAACCCTAAACCCCCAAACCCCCTAAACCCTAAACCCCTAAACCCGCGGGCCTTCCGAGGCACTGGCTTCCCACCGCACATTCGGCTTGGTGCTGTGGCTTCCTGTCGGTCGCCTCTCCAAGTTGTCTATCCTGAGCCATGGGCAGGGGAGGCTGGGGTTTAGGGTTTAGGGGTTTAGGGGTTTAAGGGTTTAGGGGTTTAGGGTTTAAGGGTTTAGGGGTTTAAGGGTTTAGGGATTTAGGGTTTGGATTTAAGGTTTAGGGTATCCAGGCTCTATGGGCCAGGGGGAGTTATGGTCCAGGAAGGTCCTACCATGTTGTTGTGCAAAAGCTGAGCAGTTCTCTGTAGGGATTTAAGCAGTCTCTAACCTGTCCGGTGTAGCCCTTCCATGTATCTTCTATCTGCCCTAAACAGTGACCTTACCCCTATAAAAGGGTACAAGGAAGGTTCTGGTATATCCCCTAGTTGGGGGAAATACCCTAGACCCTAAACTCGATATAATGCCTGTCGCCCGAGCCTGTAGCCCCTAAATATCCCCCTGTATAAGCCCTCTGATCACTTTAAACTACCCCAGTTTCTAGACCCTAAACCCTAAAACTTGAACCCTAAGTCCTAAACCCTAAGTCCTAAACCCTAAGTCCTGTAAACCCTAAATCCTAAACCCTAAACCCTATGTCCTAAACCCTACCCTAGAAGCCCAGTTACCTACATATTGGGTTCCTGTCCTTAAGTCCCTATATAATTCTATACTATCTGTAACCCAAGGACCTACTATATGGGTACCTGGGCTTCTAGGGCTAACCACTAAAAAAGGCTGAGCTTCTCTGACTCCTGCCGAGTTGTCTCAGCTTCAGTCACTGTAACCAGGTCCGAGGATGCGGAGTGCAAGGTCGGTCTGCTGTGCTGCCTGGGTTGCTGCTAGATAACTTAAGTCAAGTTACCGTAAGATGGGGTATAGGTATTTAGGGTGTAAAGGTTTTTAAGTGACAGGCAACTGAGTCCGCAGGAGAGAGAAAGAGAGGGTTTAAAGTTAAGTTACCATAATGATAATGGGCATATATGTATATATACACATGTACGGAAATTAATATGGTTACCCCAATATGAGCTATAGTCTAAACTCCTAGTATCCCCCTTAATAAGCCCTATAGTACTCCCCTATATAATCCCCTATATAACACCCCTTAAGGAGTTTAGACTATAGCTCATATAGCAACCTATAGATTGAGTTCCTTAACAACAGCCCAAGTGCATTGGCTGCACCACGGAGGCCTCATCGTTGCTCAAGACCTGGGTATGTAGTACCCTAACCCTAAGGGTCCATGTACCCAATATTTGGGTACTTTGGATATGGGTAATAGTAATTATAGTACAGGTTTGGGGTAAGTATATGATTATTTGGTACTTGGACCCTTAGGGTAAGAATCTAAATAGGCCAACGTAGGTATTATTTACAGACTTTAGGGACCAATGCAGGTATTACTTGTATGCATGGATCCCTAGAAGAAACTTGGAGTCGCCTTTTATAGAACTAAGAGCTGGCTGATTCCTAAGAAGAGTACCTTTGCTTGACGCACCCAATAAGTTGATCTATGCCCTACGGAATGGGGCGGCGATACAATTTCGACCTGTATTACGCATGCCCCACCCCCACAAGGAGCCAAGACTTTTGAGAAATCCCCGCCTCCACCACTTCCAAGGGCGGCGGCGTTTTAACGAGCGTAGTGCAGTTCTCTCGGGTCTTTCCTGACAGCAAGCTAGGAGTTAGCAGCCGACCGCGTGCCCGACGCTTGCTCGGTGATGGTGACGGCGAGAAAGTGTCTGTGCTACCACAATAGCAGCTTGATAGCGACCACCTCATCCAGATGTCGAAGCACTCTACCACTTATATTGGTTCTAAAGTGCTTGTGCTGGTTCCTCTCTGGCGACCCCATGATTTAGGACACTGAAAAACAACCTTGATCCTAACGAATCAGGACACCACACAGAAAACTACAATCCCAACAACTGTCTGTGTAAGCATGGGGCATTCAAAAAGCAAGTCCCCGATTTCCCCTCCATATCCCTAAAGTACCAGTGTGACCCGTGCTCTAAGCGCTGCAGTGGTTTCAAGGATCTATCTTTCAGTCTTTCAGACTTTCATATCTTTGAGCTTTGAGATCGCGAAAGAATCTAGATTATCCATCCGCAAATCAGTCATGCTGCCTTCAGCACAGAGAAGCCTTAAGGAGGGCGCCTTTAGTCAAATTCCCTGATTAGCCCGGGTGCCTCCTACGGTACAGAAAGTCCCACATCAAATCAGGCTCTGCGCCTTCCCAAATGAAAACCTTAGAGATCCCAATTTAGGGTTTAGGGTTTAGGGTTTAGGTAATATCTACAGACTTTAGAGCCCCATGTAGGTATTATTCTTTAGACTCGGATCCCTACATAACCCCTTCATAACCCCAGGTCCCTAAACCCTAAGCCATCAACCCTGAACCCTAAACTCTTAATCCCTAAGCCCTAGACCACTTAAATCCCTTAACCCAAAATCCATGAACCCAAAACCCTGAACCCTAAATCCTAAATCCTTACACCCTGAACCCTACATCCCTAAACCCTAAATCCCCAGACGCTAAATCCCTAAATCCCTAAGCCCTACACGCTGAACCCTAAACCCTGAACCCTAAATCCCTGAACCCTAATCTGTTCCAGCCACAGGCTTGGCCTGCCAGTCTCCGCACAACATACATCGCCCCTGCTCCCACCACCACGCAGTTCCGAGACGGTTGAAAAGGACGGGAGGAAGTTGAAACGACCTGAAGGGTTCGGGGTTTAGGGTTTTAAGGTTTAGTGTTTAGGGGTTGAAAAGGAGGGGAGGAAGTTGAAACGACCTTCAGGATTTAGGGTTTAGAGGTTTAGGGCTTGGGGGTTGAAAAGGAGGGGAGGAAGTTGAAACGACCCAGGCGGTCTTACAAGATCGCGGCTTCAGAGTTTGGTTACGGACAAATTGTGGGTCCCATTTTTCGCGGATTGGGTCAAGGCTGTGTTGTATGATGAGACGCAGCAAGTACATCGTACCCAACGAGGGATTCCCAAAAATGAGTCACAGGAGTTCAACAGAATACCTCAAGCCTCTTCAGTGCCCGTACAGCATCCCAACAGCACCTCCTACTCCTTGTCTTTACCATGGATGTCCCACTACAGGGTTCTGGGCTTGGGGACAAGGATTGGCGAACGATGAAGGCCATCATCAGCGCTGTCATTTTCATTTCATGATCACTGAATCACCATATAAATATCATCCGCCGATGTAATGCTGAAGGGCTTACATTTCAAAGAACAGCTCCGGCACTTCAATTTCGTGTCTACAAGCGGTCCTATTCTAGCATAAGACCTGCTATTCAAGCGCGTGAAGTTGGCATGCCAGCTCCTAATAAAGCTTCCACTAAAGTTCGCAATAGAATCGTACATGAAGCTTCTCAAGTGCGTGCGTGTGTGTGAGAGAGGGAGAGAGAGAGAGCTGCTAGTTAATGCCTCTGGTATACCTGCCATTGAAGATGCCACGCAAGCTTTGAATACGGCCGCTGTTAAAACTGACACATTGAATATATGTCATCTTCAGCCCCAATCTGCGAAGCCTCAACTGTAAAACAAAGCCCCTCAGACCCTCAGCGCTGCCTAAACACAAGTTCTGAAAAAGTCGGGGTTGTTTTTTGCGAGCGTCCCTATGACAAGGAGTTTCCTATCTTAGGGTGAGGCTGGAGATTGCGGTCCCTTTTGCATGGAAACTTCTACATCCCAAATAACATAAAATGCCTCAAGTCACCTGCTTCC